TGAGAATCAAATAGTGTAGCCAAAATGAAAAATCAAAACTAATAAAATCTAAAGAGGAAAAGGTTAACCGTTGAAATTATAGTAAATTCAATTAAGAGTAAACACTTCCTTAATCAATTTACTGTTCTCGAATCCTTTTCTTATTCAGCTGAGAAGCTTTCAAATATATGGAAGTCAAGGATAATTTGTGGTAACCAATTTCTGTTACGTATCACTCGCAACCATCCTTTTTGACCAGACAATTCCATTAAATGACTAAGCTTCGTCATTGAACAATCCTGTTACTCTACAGAAAAAGCTGAACTTCATTAATTTTTCACAGAATATTAAGCGTAATTCTCTGGTCGTAGACTATCTGTTAGAGTTCACACATACAAACTTAAATAAAATAAATAATTTATTCTGGAACAAGGGCCTGGCAAGTAACATATTAAAAGTAAATAGAGGCTTTACTGTAGGCACCGACTCGAAAGGCTGAGTTACAAGACCACTACAAAAAATTCATTTTTAAAAACTTCACTATACCAAATAACCAGTACCTGCTCTGAGCACCAAAATATGTGTCTTGATTGAACAAAACACCTAAATAATACTTTTCCATCACTATTACACTAAACAATGAGCAGTTTTGTAACACAAAACAAAACAACAAAGGAACTAGAATGCCTCAAGTGATTAAGACCGATGCAACTGCTGTCAAAATTTGTAAACAGAGATTCAAACATTAAAAATCTCCAAAAAAGGAAATTATCGTAAGTTGACAGCATCAAAATTACAATTTTCAACAATAAATTACTATGCACTTGCAAAGGATTTAAACTAAATTAAGTAGTCTGAAGAGTTAATAAGCAGTAAAAAAGAGCTCTCAGACAATGCTTGAGAGCGGCTTTAGAAGAAAACTAAGAACAATATATTACACAACAGATGGCGAAAAAAAAGGAATTTGAAAGATTAATAGCAATCATACCAAGCAAGTTAGCCAAATATAATTGTGAAATAACGAATGTTGAACGAAGAAATGATTTACTCAATATACAGAAAGCAGGTAGCAAAGCGAACCTAAACGAAAAAATTTGAGCAGTCAACAGAAGAAAAACCCAAAAAGTTTTAGTTAATTTATAGATAGTGCAGGTATCTCTCAGCAACATTTCTTTATAGAAGACTGACATACAATGTCAGAACTCTTCTATACTGCAAAAAATTGCCAAGTAAGTTGAAAGAAAAAAAAAAAAAAACAACAAAACAAAAACAAAAAGAAGAGACAAGGAATGCAATTACGCTAACAACGTAGCAATCCTTTATCTATTAGAACTCTACTAATAACAACATACACTTACATAATTTTGAAAAATAAAACTATGACGTTGATGGAACATCCAAATAGCACCTAATTATTTCAACAGATACACAAATTCAACATAAAATTTTGAATGAAAAATTCTGAGAAACAAAAGAGGAAAATTCTAATGCCAAGGAAGAACAATAATCGCAAACTAACAATCCAAAAATTTTAAATTAAATTTACAAATAACCACTACTCCATCTAAGCAGGTTGCTCCTCTTCATACGATTCAATTTTTTTGCAGAAGGGGCAATCGATGTTGTTGATGGTCTGTTTTCTGAATCACATTTCCGACGCAGCACAAAACTCAAAATCGGCGAAGTTGGATCAGGCGCTACAGCATAATATGGATTACACTTGTCTGGCAATTGAAATTCACCTGAAAAATAGAATAGATAATTTTAGAAAACGCTTGAATCTTCTCCAAATCACGAGTAACTTAAGCGATGGTACAATAGAAGCAAATGTTCATAATTATAAAGACTATCCATGCACTTCACTAGTCCTAACGAAGCAGATTAATAAGCTTTTCTATTACTTATAGACAGTCCACTTTTCATAAATAAATTCAAAAAAATCAAAAATACTTACAACCGTCTCTTAGTAACTGCACCAAACAATACTCAGAGGGATCTCCTGTGATCAAATGTTTTTCCAATACTTTGTCGATTAAGCCATTCATACGATCACCATTTTCAATCTGGAAAAGATTATTCAGGTCAAAAAACCGTGAAAAGACATTCATCGAAAAATCGCAACAATAAAACCTAAACGATGAGCACAATAAATAATTAACCTTAACGCATTTGTAATTTGTTGTGGCTGTTTCATTCTGCAGAGAGTCATCTAATGCAACTCTAGCCAAAGTAAACGCAGGTGTCTGAGTATTACCAGAAGATGGTACTGAAGTACAAGACGCTGCAGAGCTGCTGTTGGAACTCTTTAAAAAAAATGAGTCAAAATCCGCAATTTAACACTTCGTCACACTTTCCTTCACGTTACGCAAACAGTAAAAAAAAAAAACAAAGAAACCAATTTAAATAATGGGAACCTGGCTGTCTGTTGCACAATGCCTCTTTACACTGCCATCTAATGATTCTCGATCCTTCATTCGCCTTTCGCTTAGTGGCGTACCACAATGCGACGTAACTTCATTCTAAAAAGTTATTCTCTTGGTTTAAAAAAGAACAGAAGTGTTTTATTTCCTATAGTATACGCAGCAATATTTTGAAAAATAAATTCTTTTCACCAAGCAAAACTGTTGATAAAAAAGAATAAAAGCCTAGTAATACGATGCTTCATTCCCCTCTCCTTCAAAATACATTTAAACTATTTCATCACAGTTTTAGGAGTACCGAGCAGTCGTTAGTAGCTGCAGAACTATGAGATAAGGAATCACGCTGTTGTTTGCTAGAGGAACCGCTAGGTGAACGCTGATGCACGAAAACTGCGCCAGGATTAAACTCACTACCTTCAAATAAATCGTGAAAATTAAAAAAGTACTGAACACAGGAAAACCTCAAAGAAGAAGTTAGAAATAGTACAGCACGTTTAAGGAATCATGCGATTATTAAAGGCGTGTTCACCCAACACCAACCCGAATGACAATATGGAGTTCGACCACCTTTCCAAGATATAGTACTAGCAGGAGTTGAAGGAGCAGTAAATGATCGAGAAGCATGAATACCAAAAGGACTTAGGCCAGCTAGTAAGGATTTCTCAGCCAAGAGCCGCCCGCCGTCTGAAATCCATGAATCCTCCGTCACTATACCAGAATCGTTTGATAGCTGTCCACCGGAAGAGCTCGCATTGGCAGCATCGTCATAATTGACTCCAGGAAAAATTCGCGAAAGGGTCGCATTTCTATAAGAAATCACTTATTCTTTTCACTCCTTTTAGTGTTACTAGTAAAGATAAAAACCTAAGGCAGGGAAAACATTGATCAGGCGTGTACACCACCGTGTTAAAGAAACTAATCCATTATGACTCAAAAAAACATAAGCCTGGGGAGCGACAGAAGTCTTCGTTGTAAAAAAAATTTAAAACTACCTCACAATGCTCAAGTTTTGAAATTGAAAGAAAAAATTTAAGTGTACTCACACTTTTGGCGGTGGATTTGGGATTGGTTTACTCGATTTGACTGGGTCAACTGCATTAGCAGCAGGTTCTATCACGAGCGACCGTTGGAAACTAAATAAAGGTTAATATGAAAAAATAAAAATTTCGAATTCCATTACAGTAAGTATCTCGACACAAGTTTACCACTGATTTTCGTCCAACGCTGGAAGAAAATGGAACCAGGAACAAAAAGCAACGTCCATAGGTATATTGTACGCACGAGAAGCCGATTGGAAAAGTCGGATTTTTGCAATGATATCAAACTCTTTCCTCCTCTTTTCAAAATTTATAAGGCCATCTTAAAAATATTCATCATTAAGCACTCTATACGAAATTAAAGACTAAAAAACTTAAGATACCAAAAAAGCTGATCCTTCCATAGTCTTCTACTGTTAACACTAAAAAGTAATCACCTTCTGTAAGATCAGGATTTGCCTGATCAATCATTGATAAATCCGTTAGAAAACTGCCAAGGTAAGGTACAGTCCCTTGTGATTCTGCTAGGTTGACATCGCTCTTCGTTCTTCGGCAGTTCTGTATAAGCTGAGGACGCCTTAAGGGTGAACTCTTTGCGGTCCCCTCCTGTAAATCAATACAAACTCGGTGAAGTATAGTTGGAGAAACATAACATTCATGAAAGAATTGAGTGTTTATAAACACCTCGTCTAAAATTTGTCGAACTCGACTTTCCTCACCGTCATCATCCGGATCAAAAATTGATGTAAGCTCACGGAACTGAGAGACTGAACGGCTGAAAAACAAAACCATAAATTCTCAAACAACTATACTTTGAACCACCTATTCCACGTCAATCCCAAAAATTACCTTGAAACAAGGCTCCAAACACCTTTTAACCTATGAACTGGCTCTGACTGCAAACTTGATAGCACCGCTTTCAAAGAAGAAAAATTTTTTAAAGCCCGTAACTCCTAAAAAATTGACTACGAAAGGTGCAAAACCAAAAACAAACATTTTACAATTTTTAAAAACAGGACAAAAAGTTGTAAAAGGACTACAGAAAACACCAGGAATACGGTTTTAACCAGTAGCAAGCTTTTTCCAAGAAGCAAATGTAGATTAATCGTCTCACAACTTTTCAAATATATTTATGCACAACGGTAACTATTCTTACTCTTGCAATATCAATCCACTTTGCAATTATTTTTGCACGGAACTCGGGTCGACAGTCAGGAAGGACAATACTAGTCATTACTCTCTGAGCAACAGCGTTAAACTAAAAATTTAATGATAATGTCGTTCAAAAAGGAAGCTTTCAAAGACAATGAAGATGAATAGTCTGTTTATCAATATCAATAATTAATATCACCTGATCGATAGTAGCTCGAACACTATACACAGTTTCAGGACCTTTTTTATGTCTTCGGGACCAAACGCAACCTTGACACTGCTGAGGCAACAACTCTTTAAAGAGCTCCTTAAAGAAAATTTGAAAAGTAAAGCCGTGTCGAAAATTTCATCGGCAAAAACAGAAACCGAGAATGTCATAATATTTCATGACAACCAGTAATTTCCCGAGTACAAATGTAAAAGAAAAACTAGACAACAGAAACTGTTTTTTACAACTCTGTTAGATAACAAAACCTTACAGCATCCCAGTAAGTCAGCTGCTCTGCTATTTGAACACAGTTCTCTTTTCCCACATCAAACATCATTGTCCGTTGATGCATAAAACTTGCCGCATCATAACCATGCGTGAAAATCTGTTGACTTATGGAAGGTAACTGAGCTAAATATGAGAAACATTAGTCTGTTGAAACTGTTGCCGACGCGGTGAAAATAAACAATTCATTGAAAGTAGCGAAAAAACTAAGAACTAATAGTAGCACTTCAGGAACTAAAAGAACAGGCTCATAAATGCTGCAAGAAAAATTCTAACCTGCCAAACCGCCTTGAGCGGCAACTCTCCTGTAAACCTCTCTCAAGTTCTGCACTTTGACTTTAATGTCGGACAACTTGTGTAGCCGCGAAAAATCAAGAAGGCGAGATAGTAAATTAAAATCATTTGTAGGCTGATAGAAATCTTCAGGATACATGTCCAACCAACACAACAAAATCGAACGAATTGAGCTTAATCAGTTAGACATTACCAATCACAAAAATTTTAGGACCAATCATAATTATCATTAAAAAGTTAAAGGTGCAAATGTGTCTATCGAGAGAAAAATTAAAAAATAAATACCAAAAAATATTTTTCTAGATAGACTTTTGAGTTTCGTAACTACAAACCACTCAAAACGTGCAAGGACAATACAGAACTTTGTATGCAAAACCAAGACATTTAATAAGTACTTTTGTTGCATAGTTGCATTTCCAGAGCTACTCCTAGCGCCGCTACTCCTCGCCTCCAGCTGTTCAAAGCGACGCAACAACAGATCGAGTACAGCTGTAGTGTTAGTAAAGGCCCTATATGTTGCAAAAAACACATTGAAATGCCTTGAATCCATGATATTATCTGGACCAATCAGACATTCCTACAACAATAGAAAGAATGACAAAAAATCCTTACTAAGATCACAATATAAAAAAGCCATTAAACTCTGTATTAAAATGCACTATTCTAAAAGTAAAAAAGTGAATTCTAATTCTAGGTACAGATCTACATTAGCAGAATGGTACACTACTGTATCCGCAGACGACCAAAAAACCGTTTCAAATCAGCAAAGGATATATGAACACTCGCAGTGACATGAACTAATAATTTAAAGGAAAAAAAGCAGTTCAGCAAGATAAAAAATTACTACTGATAACTTTTAAAAAAGTAAAACCCATACCAAAATACTTGAATATAAATCAAGCAGGAACGAAATAAAGCACAAGCATGAGCAACCTAGTCTAACATAAAAAAAGATGGAGGAAAAACAAATAGAAAAATAGGAAATACAAACTTCTGAGAAATACTTCAAAATAGCATCTAAATTTTAAAAACAGAACCCTCAAACCAAATTGACCCGCTAAAACACTGTGAAGACAATCGAACTTCAACAGAAGAGTTTGGCTATGCCAAAGACTAAAAAGCTAAGAACTTTGATGATTTACAACTTACAACTAGCTTTTCCACCGTTCCAGAACGTATAACCCTCTCCTTAATTGTCTCCCACTGAAGTCGATCTGAAGCAAAGTCAGTAGCCATTTGACGATGATTGTGCGAATCACCCATACCGCATTGCTAAAATGTAAATGTTGTTTGCTATTTCTCACAAGACAAAGAAAAAAAAAGAAAATGCCTTAATCAAAAATGAGCCAAATATCATTTCTCTTTGCTATTCGCACAAACAATGCAATTTCTTCCATTACGGGTGGAAATAGTTTTCTGCACACTTTTAACCTTTTCTTCAGATAACTTCATTTGAAATGATAACCGCGCCTAAACAAACAGTAAGAGCAACAAAGCTCAATGGTCTCATACATTAGCAAATAATTCATCAAAATTACTAATCGTAGTAATGCCCTCCTGCTTTTGAGATACTCAACAAAAAATTTAAACACGAATTCAGTCAAAAACGAGTGACAGTGAGAGAAAAAAGTGCTCATTTTAATCCTCAGTGCAATTATTCGATATTTCATGTACTACTGCAGTCATTTCTTTCTACTTTTAATGGCCTATTATTCGAAAAAAA